ATGCTTAAGAAAAAGAAATAGTCTACTTGCTTGCTTAGACTAAATAGAAAAATGTAATAAATTTTATTTACAAATTTGTAGACTATTTGTTCTATTAATTATTTGGTTTTTATTAATCACTAGAAGCCACAAAAAAAAGTATCTTTTCTTAATTGAAATAAGAATTTATTAATTCAAATTTATTCAATCTCATGATTAGCTTTCTTTTAAAATCCATAAAAATATTTTTACTATCAATCCTTAATTTCTAAAAATTTTAAATTCATCTAGCATTTTATTTATTAAGATTATTTAATTTCTTATTGTACTTTTAGGTTTTAAATATTTAGGAATTTTAATAAATAAATAAATCTATTCTATAAAAAATAAATATTTTTATTTAAACAAATTTAAAAAGAAATAAATGTGGTTCAGAAAAGAAAATAGCATGCCATAACTAAATAAAAAAAATGTAATTGATTTTGTTTATAAATTTTGTAGACTATTTGTTAATTTTCCTTTTCTATTTATATATTGTTTTTACTAATAACTAGAAGCCACAAAAAAAAGTATCTTTTCTAAATTGAAATAAGAATTTATTAGTTCAAATTTATTCAATCTCATGATTAGTATTCTTTTGAAATCCATAAAAATATTTTTACTATCAATCCTTAATTTCTAAAAATTTTAAATTCATCTAGCATTTTTTTATTAAGATTATTTTATTATTTATTCTACTTTTAAGTTTAAAATATTTAGGAATTTTTATAAATAAATATATTCTATTCTATAAAAAATAAATATTTAATTTTAAAAAGAAATAAATGTGCTTCAGAAAAGAAAATAGCATGCCTTAACTAAATAAAAAAAATGTAATTGATTTTGTTTATAAATTTTGTAGACTATTTGTTAATTTTCCTTTTCTATTTATATATGGTTTTTATGGACCATTAAATGCTATTAAAAGACGTATCTTTTCTAAATTGAAATAAGAAGATATTAGTGGAAATTTATTAAATTAATTAGCTTTCTTTCAAAATTCATTAAAAGAAATTTTACAATCAATAGTTAAAATGTAAACATTTTAAAATTCATCAAGCTTTTTATTTAAGAAGACTATTTTACTTTTGATTGTAATTTTAGGTTTAAAATATTAAGTAATTGTAATAAATAAATAAAATAAATATATCCATAAAAAATAGGCATTCTATATTTAATAAAAAATTATAAATGTAAAATATTTATAAAATCATTTTAAAATCAAGTAATTAAATGCATTTCAGAAAACAAAGTATTATGCATAAACTAAAATAAAAAAAAATAATTAATTTTGTTTATAAATTTTGTAGACTATTTGTTAATTTTCCTTTTCTGTTTATATCTGGTTTTCATGGAACATTAGAAGCTATTAAAAGTAGAATTTTTTCTAAATTAAAATAAGAAGATATTAGTGGAAATTTATTAAATTAATTAGCTTTCTTTCAAAATTCATAACAAAAACGTTACAATCAATCATCAATTTGTAAACATTTTTAAATTCATCGATCTTTTTATCTTTGATTGTACTTTTAGGTTTAAAATATTTAGCAATTTTTATTAATAAAATAAATCTTTTCCATAAAAAATAAACATTCTATACTTAGTAAAAATAATAAAGAAAAAATAATTTGTAAAATATTTTTAAAATCAAGTAATTATATGCCTTTCAGAAAACAAAGTATTTTCAATAAACTAAAATAAAAAAATGTAATTAATTTTGTTTATAAATTTGTGGACTAATTGTTAACTTTTTATTTTCTATTTATTTCTGTTTTTTATGAGTGATTGTAAGATAATAAAAAGCAGTATCTCTTTGAAATTAAAACAAGAATTTATAGTTCAAATTTACTAAATTTCATAGTTAATTTTTATTCAATATCTATAAAAATACTTTATGCAATCAATCCTCAGTTTGCAAAAAATTTTTGAATAAATCAAACATTTTATTTATCACTATTATATTATTATTGATTGTACTTTTAGGTTTAAAATTATAGATGTATTCAATAAAATATTTAGTTTAAGTTGGTATATAATAGAAATAAAGATAAAACTATGAATATTAATAATAATCCATACTTGTTTATTTTAAAATTATTGTCCCTTTATCAAATAATATTGGCTATGATTTATTTATCAAAATGATAAAATAATTATGATATTATGATAATATTTTCTATGTTTTTTTTATATTAGAAAATGATAAAAGATATATATATATATATCTTAGGTGTAGCTGAAAAGTTAAAGGAAGATATTTTACTTAGATATTTTTATAGTGAACTTAAAATGAACAAATAGATTGTACTTTAATATTGCATTTTTATATAGAGGACATTTTTATATAAAGTATCAATTATAAATAAATTAATTTTTAAAAATATAAATTGTAATGAGAAGAATAAGGCTCTTTAATGACATTTAAAACTCTCATTTATAATAGAAAATATAAACATAAAAGTTTTTAAATAAGACATAATGCTTTTGAGTAAGAAATAAATAAATGACTTTTTCTCTTTATTTAGATAAATTAGAATCAATTTTTTTTTCTAAAGTTCTATTTAGATTTTGGAAAAATAAATAAAATTGCAAATCTGAAATTTCAAATTGACAAATTTATAATTTAAACGTATGAATTTTTTGAATTTATGATATTAGTAGAGTAGACCTTATATTAAATATAATCAGCATTTTCATAATTTTATAACAAACAAACTATGTTTAGATTTTTTAGAAAAGTAAAAATAGACTAATTTAAAATAAAATAGAATTTTTTAATTTGAATTAATCAATAAATTTAACTTTTAATGCAATTTTTAATAATGAATTAAATATCAACTAATAAAATAATTAATTTTATTATTATTTTCTAACTATTATTTAGAGTACAGTAATTAAATATAAATAAAATAATAAATACTTAATTTATAAAATAATATTTAAAACAAATAAAAAAGTTTAGAAATTGGTTTCGAACTCACAAAAGAAAAAGAAAAAATATTTAGCTGAGGTTTTAATTAATTTTTCAATCAAGAAATCTAAATTTTTAATCAAACAATTATCTATGAATTAAACATTTTTCCATTCATATTATTAATAATTTATTGATTTAAATGAAAAACTTAGAATTTTATTTCAAAAATAAAATTTTTAGCAAATAATTAATTTTTTTAATAGTTTTTTCATTATTACTATTGTGGATGATCGATTTAACTAATTGAGAAAGTTAATATGTAAAAAGAACAATAATCCAGCCAGATTTTTCTTGTTTGTTTTTCCATATAATTTAAAATTTTTGTATTACCGTATTATCTCTAAACTTGGCCCTCTGTTTTCTGCAAAACCGACCAAGGATATCAAAATTTTCAGTGAATACATTTTCGACCTACCTCGGCTGACCGAATAGTGGGTCTTATCGAGGGAATAAGGTAAATAATATATGTTGCACAAATTTATAATAGGTCTCACTAACTTATTTATTCAAATATATTAAGCAATTTATTTTTCCTAAACAAAAGTTTATTGAAAGATTTAAAAAAAAAAATTAATTGAAATTTAGAATGTAAAGGTAAACTTAATTTTATTAATAAAATATATTTATAATAAGTCTCACTAACTTATTTATTGAAATATATTAATGAATTTTTCCAAAACAAAAGTGTATGGAAAGATTTAAAAAAATATATTATAATTTAGATTATAAAAGGTAAACTTAATTTAATAAATAAATAAATATAATTTTTATCCTTTTTCAAGCCTTACAAAGCTATTATTAATTCATAATATTGTATACATAAATTAATAATTGCCAAAAAATATGAAAAATATTAGTATTAAAAAAAATTAGTTGAATTGTTTATTTAAGGATTAAATTAGTTATCATACACGATAAAGAATATATTTAAATTACGAACAGTTAAATAAAAATTTAGAAATGATTATTAAATTACAACTTTCTATAAAAAACACATCTTTTGATCACAAAGTAAGAAGGATATTGAAATAAATAAATAAATCAGATATTTCCCATTAAATTTGTAGTGAAAATTAAAATCTTTAAAACTATTAATAAATTAAAATAAGAATTATTAATGAAGAATAAATATATTTCATGTTAAATAATAATTTAAATCTCTTTGGAAAGGGTGTTATTAATATTTAATAGAAATTTAATAAGAGTTCGCTTTAAATCAATTTTAAATGAATATTTTAGATCATAAAAAATAGGTTAAAGCAAAATCATTATAATAAAATTTTTTAAAAAATATTAATTTCTATTAGAAAGATAAATAGTTATAGGTGTAAACTATCGCTATTTATCTCTCTGTTACAAAAAAAAAAATCTGCTATTAACAATAGAACCTTATACTATTTTTTTGGTTTTTAATAATTGAAATTATATGAATCGATTAAAAATAATAATAAATTTTTTATCATTTAACTAAATTTGTAAAAACCTTTAAAAATTTAAACTCAAAATCCAACAAAAATAAATTTTTGGATGTAATAATAAACACAATTTCATAATTTAGATCTTTATCTCATTTAATTGGGAATTATAAGCATTTTTGATTAGAAATATATTCTTTAGGCAACAAAGAGTGTACATATGCTAATTAAATATGATTGAAAAATATTAGAAATCATGGCTTCTACTTACATCAATAATATTATCATATTATATTCTTTTTTAACAATTCATCAATAAAAAAATAGATAAACTTATTAACAAATTTTTTTGCATTATTATTAATTAATAATGATAAAGATATTTAATTTTTAACTTTCTTTAGAAGAAATATTTATTTACATAAATTTATATTTAAAAATATAAAATTGTGAAAAGATTAAATCTTAATTTTGAAATCAAATCAGCATACATATACATATATATATAGAGAGAGAGATACCTAAATAATTACACATACATACGCCAACAATCTCAAAAAATGTTTAATGATTGTAATTACATTTGCTTATTTTCAAATAAGTAAAGAAGCTACGAGCAATGCTGAAACAGCTATAACTGAAGAGCTACTAGAAGCTGCAACACATGATGATTTATCTGAACTAGCTTTAACATTAGCAGAATTATTACCACCTGCATTACATAATTTGCAATCATCATCAGTCCAATTAGTTTTTCTAGTGCAACTTCCATTAGCAGGATTTACACAAGCTGTTCCATAAGCGTTAGCGAATTTGTTAGTACTTTGGCATGAATTACAGAAGTTATCTGTTAAACCAGAATTAGGCATAGGAGCAGATAAGCAAGATGTAATAAAACAATTATTTGCATCTGAAGCCTTTGACCATGTAAATGCTGGAGAAGGGAGGGCACCGCAGGTATTAGTAGTACAAGCATTTCCTTATTAACATGCAACATTAGTACCTGCAACAGCTGTGCTAACACATCCACTTTTACTAGAGTTAGCATAAATATTTGAATTTCCACCTTATGGGCAAGAAGCACAGAAAGTATCATAAATATTTGAAAAGCTATTACCGACATTATTACATTCAGAAATTTTGAATTTGCCAGAAGCACCTTAAGTCCAAGTACTTGCAGCAGCTGAACCACAAGTAGTAGAGTCAGTAGTTGAATTGCAATTAACATCAACACCAGCAGCAGCAAAAATTAAGGCTACTGAAAGAGAAAGTACTAATAATTTTTTAATCATTTTACTTTTTTATTGAGAGTAGTTTTTTTAATTTTGTATTTAATTTAATTTTATTAAATATTACATTTTTTAAATTTTTTACATCTCAATTTATAGATCAGGTTGAGGAAAATAAAATGATAAATATAGATTAAATTTTATTTACATTAGTAAGGCTACATAGATTGATTAATAAATTAGTTCTGCATGTATTTTTACTTATGTTTATGTGCTTAAGTAATCAAAAGTAATCTTACAATTTTTTAATTTTTATCTGAATCAAATTTATCAGGTCATCAGAAAACTCAAATGCTTTTATTAGAAATTAATTTAGGTAAACATTATACAATTTAATGATAAGTTTTCTAAATTCTATGGATGTTTTAAGCAAACATTTTTCTTTATTTTAAAATATTTATTGTGAATTTTTAAGATTTTAGAATTAAATCTAGTTAATTGTAGTGTTATTTTGGTCATATAATAAAATCAATTAACAATAAATTGTAGTTATCTCCATGTAAATAAAATAATATAAAAGCAAGTATATTACTATAAAATAAAATTATTTCAAATTCTTAAATAGAAATTAAAATAATTATATGATAAAACATTTATTTTTAAAGCATCTATAAGACCTTTTATTCTCTTTTAAAATAAAAGATAACAATTAGTTAAGTGATTATACAAAAAACATTAGTTTTTGCGATACTCAAAATTTTTTTGATGACTTTTGACTTTGCTCAAATTTAATATTTAGAACTTAAGAGTTATTGAGAAATAGAAAATCTAACCAGCCAGACTTTGAAAAACTAAGAAACATCTAACTTTAATTTACACTTTTCATAAATGCGAATTATTCATTCTTTCAATTATAACTTTAATTAACTGTACATGAATTTAAGAAGTCTATTAAAATCTCTAAATTTTTTACCAAAATCTTAATCATGTATACTTATCATAATTATTACACCAGGAAATCTGATCAATAGTAAACTAATTTTATAGATTTTTTAAATTAAATAAGCAGTGCAGTGTAAGATAATTAAGAGGAGTGAAAAATACTAATCACATTTTAAATAAATCAAGAGGTCAAAAAAATTTTATAGACTTCATAAATCAATTTAATTTCTGATTAAAGTAATTTTGATTATTTTTCAAATTATCAAACATTAGCCTAAATTCTTATTATTTATAACATTTTGATGATTTTATTAAAAAGAAAAAAGTTTTATGCCCTAAAATATATTATAAACATGAATTATTTTTTATTATTGAACTTCTTTTTTGTAAATAATTATGATATATTGATTAATTAATAATAGATTTCATAGTATTAAGTAACTGTTTTGAAATTTTCATGGTAATTTACTTAAAGTATTGTATGCATATAAATTAAACTTCTTCAAGCTTAACTTTTTCTGAAGCTTAACAAATAAAAAAAATCAAATAGATAAAGATTAAAACTTCGATATTAAAGTATTAATTTTGTCTTTTTAATGATAAACAAATTAGGTAAAAATTTAATTAGATTACTTTATATGGGTTTACATTATCGAATAAATAGATATACGTATTAATTATTTTTATATGCAGAAAGTAATACTAAATATTTTAACTTTATCTCTAAAGTAAATTATTAATATATTATAAAATAAAGCTAAAATTTAATAAATTTTAAGATTCAATAAATAAAAAAATCTAATCTATTATAAATAAATAAATATTCTTTATAAAAAAATTTTAATTGTAAAATAATTATTGAATATTTTAAATTTAATGTGCTTAAGGAAATAAAATAGTCTGCTAGCTTAAACTAAATAAATTTTATTTACAAAATTGTAGACTATTTGTTATATTCATCTATTCTATTAATATTTGATTTTTATCAATCACTAGAAGCCATTAAAGAAGAGAAGTGTCTTTTATAAATTGAAGTAAGAAACTATTAGTTCAAATTTATCCAATTTCATGATTAGTTTTCTTTTAAAATTGTAATAGGAAGATTAAGGTTTTTTAATGGCATTTAAAACTCTTTTTTATAATAGAGAAATATAAATATTAAAGTTATTAAATAAAATATAATTCCTTTCAGAAAGAAAGAAATAAATATACAACTTTTTTCTCTTGCTTGATTTAGATAATAAATTAGAATCAATTTTTTCTTCTAAAGTTCTTTTAGATTTAAAGAAAAATTAATAAAATTGCAAATCTGAAATTTTAAATTGACAAATTTATAATTTAAACATGAGAATTTTATGAATTTATACTTTTAATATAGCTAATCCTTAATTAAAATATCACAAACTGTGTAGGTACAGATGGTGAAATTTCATTTAATTTTTATGATTTAAAGCTAATTTTACACTTTTTAAAATTTATGAATATTTCATTAAATGGTTTGTCAGTAAATGAAATAACACCCTCTCTCTCAGTTTTCTTATAATTTTTTAGCTTGATAGAGTCAAAGCGGTGTGTAGAATACATTCATAATAATTAGAAAAGATATTAATAAAAAATTATTTAATTTCAATAAATACGAAGAGTAAAAAATACTACTATATTTAGTTAGAAAGCTTCTTACATAAAATTATGGAAGTCTATAAAATTAAATTTTGTTACAAATGATCTTAAATCACTGTTTGCATTAATTAATAAATTCATTGGTATTTATTTTATCGAACTTCTTATTTAATACTATTACTACAATTGGAATCTTGTTCTAATCGAAAAGTATTATCTTATCTACATTTTGTAATATGAAAATCCTAAGAATACTTATTTCTTTTAATAGAATAACAGAAAGCTGTTTATAAAAAACTTTTTTGAAAATATTTTTTTATAATTAAAATCCATTAAAATTAAATTGTTTTACATAAAAAAGTATTTTCATATAAAAGAAATATTGTTTCATTTTTATGAGGCAAATTAATTTGTACTAAGAAATTTAGTTTAAGATTCTATATTTATCAATCTTTTGCTTGAACCGTTGCTATAACTTAAAGTGAATTATTATAATATTTACTTTGTTCTTGAATTAATATTTTTTGATTTACACTATTACTAAGATAGTTTTTATATTTTATAGATCAAAAGAAATTTAATTCGAGCAAGTCTAAATGCAATACTTAGTTTTACAGCTAAAAAATAATAGATTTTATCTTACTATAAAAACATATTTATTACATGTATTTAATTTGTAAATTTATGTAAAAAAAAATACTAATTATAGATTATGTTAATAGTAAGATATAAGATATATATTATAATATCTATTTAAATATTTGCCAAACATTTATTCTACCTCAATATTTTTAAAAATTAATAATCAGACTGAAAATTCAAAAAATAAGTGAAATCATTATTTTAAAATTTTCTTTTAATTTATAAAAAATATTTATTATACTACTAAATATTTATTTACTACTTATTATATAATTATTCAAGAATAGCTATATAAACTTCTAACATTTCCTCATTTAATTCTATAAAATAAGTACTCATCAACTCCTACTTATTAATTTTCATATTTGGCTATACTCATTTTATCTTTTGAAAACTAAGAAATCTTATAAAACAACTAATAATAGAGTTTTTTTATAAATTTTAAAGTAATTTTACCATAAAAGTTATTTATTTAACTAGCATTTTAAAGTTTAATAATTATTTGAAAAAAAGTTAATAATATTAGTATGAAAATTTACTATTTTGAATAATGTTTTTTACTTCTTTATTAAATTTTATATTACACAAAGGGCATTGATTAATATTCTCTTTTAGGTAATTATTTATCTATATTCTGTAGGTATGAAAGAGATAAAAATACAATAAAGTCCTTATTTGAGTCACAATTATCAATTATTTTCTACTTTACTTATTATTCACTCATTTTTATTAATATTTAATAGCAAAATTATTTACTTTAAAAATATAAATTAATAATGAAATAAAATTAATTGAACTATACATAAATTACTTAAAATAATCTCATTTTTTAAATAATTTGAAAATTTTTATTATCTTTTAATATTCAAGTTTTTATCATAAAATAAGCCATAAAATGAGACTTAAAAACAAGCAAAATCTTTTAAATATCATATTATAAATCTAGATCAACTTTCATAGTATAGTAATATTAAGAATTATTGATATTTAGATATGTTATTTTGGATGATGATCTAATTAATATTTAGAGTTATCCCATAATTACACATACACAAAATAATCATATGTAAATTATTGGTTGTTAATAATTTCATTTTTTTATTAAGTAAAAAGATAATTAAATAACAAAATAGAGTAAAATGCCTTTTTAATTCTTTTAGCGATCACTCTTATTATAAAATAAAATGACTTCTTAAACTATGTTATTAGTTCCTTCAAATGGGCATTCTGAAAATATTATTATTAAGTATTATACCAGAGTTTATTATTATAATTTGGTAGATAATAATATAATAAAGAATTTTCTAATAAGATAAAGTGATAAGAATTATAAAAACAAAAATAACGCCTAATTGAAGACAATAAAGTCACAAGAAAATACTAACTTAAAACATATGTTCTCGTCATAAGCATTTTTGAACCAAAAAAGTAACTTTATTTTTATTATTTATTAACTTAAATTTTATAATTTCTAAAAATTTTAAAATATAGAATAGCTTATTAGTAAATAAGAAGGTTAGTTATTACAAAAACTAATTAATTTTATTATTTACATTGAAGAATAAATCAAAAGAAAAGTAATGCAAAGACTTTTAACTAGAAATCAACTAATTGTTCAAAATAATAAATAAGTTTAAAAATAGAAAAAATACAGTGAAAAAATTTTTTAAAAAAATTTTTAAGAAGCAGATAATGAAATTGATAAAGATGAAAAAGTAAGCTCTGATATGGGTTGATTGTTATTAGATATAATTAAGGTATTTAAGAAAAGAATATCAATAAAAATAAAGTTAGATTTAAATGAAATAAATAAAAAATATTCTGTTTTAAGCAATAAAGTGTAAAAGAGAAATTTAAAAATGGTAAGTAAAATTTAAGTTAAATTCCCTTTCGAAATCAAATCAGCATAATTACATACATTTATACATAAATATATTAAGTACAGATATACATATTTTGCCAACAATTTCAAAAGATTTTTATTTATGTTTGAATTTTTAAAAAAATCTTTCACTTTCACAAAAGCAAAGAAGCAATAATTAAACTGGAAAAGGCTATAGCTGATGATGAAGATGATGAGGAAGGAGCGGTTGCAGTACATGATGTTCTGTCAGCGCTAGCATATATATTACTAGAATTTGTACCACTTGCATTACAAACTTTGCAATCTGAATCAGTCCAGCCAGTTTTTCTAGTGCAACTTGCAGAGGGATTTACACAAGCAGTACCATAAGAATTAGCGTATGTGTTAGTTTTACCGCATGAAGCACAGAATTAATCTGTTAAACTAGAAGTAGGCATAGGAGCAGCAAGGCATGATGCAATTTGGCAATTTGTGGTATCTACTGATTTCCATTTGAAAGCTGGTGTGGGTGGATTACCACAGCTACAACTACCACTTTAATAACATGCAACATTTGCTCCTGCAGTAGGAGTATTGATACATCCATCTTAGGTTGATTTAGCGTAAACATTAGTAGTTTAACAAGAGGCACACAAAGTATCAAAGATCCCTGATAATGAGGCTGATAATGCAGTACAATCTGCTATTTTTGAACCAGAAGTTGTTCCTGCTGTCCATGAACTTCCTCCAGCTGGACCGCAAGATGTCACATCATTTGTATTACCGTTACATACTACATCTTAACCGGGTGTGCCAGCCAATACCAAAGCTACTGAAAGAGAAATTACAAGTAATTGTTTAATCATTTGTTTTTTGTAGATTTTAATTTTTAATTATTTTTTTATTTAATTTAATTTAGTATTTTTGAGTTACTTATACTCCTATTTAAAGAAAAAAAGATAAAAGAAGTGCTGTTAATTTACTATTAAGAGAATATATAAATCTAATATGATAAAATCTAAAAGATCTGATATATTAATAGATGCTATTATCATATGTAAAATTGTGTAAATGACGACTTAACAATTAAAAAAAGAAATTTCCAATAAATAAATCATTATATTTATTATTTAAATTAATTTACCATCCAAAGAATAAATTAATTAAATATAGATCAACTCTAAAAAAAGCTTATATTTAGATTAGGAGGTGTTATTTATTTTGTTAAGTAAAATTGCCAAAATGGCAAAATATTAATTAATTTCAAATTTTGTATTCAAAAATGGATAAAATTTTTTTGACAAATACTAGCTAAGTTTTTAATAAAAAAATGAAGTCTACATGTTTTTCATATTTTATTTGAACTTACGATATTACATTTTAAAAATAATTATTTTACTTATTCGTGCGTGTAATTCTGATACATTATTAAAAAGTGTGAAATTTAAGAAGATCAAAATTGGAGAAAATATTAAATAATATTGATTTTTAGATTATTAAAATGTTTTATAAACAAGATAAATTACATTTTAAGTGAATGATAAACACATTTTAATATGAAAATCTATTAATGTTAAAGGATAAATAGTTTAGGTCATACAAATAATTTAAATAAACATATAACAAATAATACGCATATATTTTTTGCTTGATCTTATGAGTGAGTCACTCTTTTAAAAAATATATTAAGGATTTTATTGGGTTTTAATTTGCAATATGATGCTTGAATTTGCCTGAAAATTAATTCTTAATAAATATTAAAGCATTTTTATACTTGTTAAATTTATTACAGAATCTTTTGATAATTTGTAGGAGACAATTTTTTTTAAACCAGAGATTTTTTAATTATGGTGACTTGATTTATGGTTACAATTATTAGAAAAAAATAGAAAAAAAATAATTTTAAAAAGTCATATTAAGGAATAGTTAAATTTTTATATAAAAGCTCTCTAAATTATTAAAATTATTTACTAAACACTTAATATATGTAATTTTTAAAATATTTTATTAGTATAACTAAAGATAATTTCATAATTCAAGCTTTTAACTCAATAAGAATATTTTTATTATCATAAAAAGAAATTTCTTAATTTTAATTCGTTATAAACAAGCTTAAAGTGATTTTTTAACATATTTAATAAGCAAAAATCATTCAAATTTTAACAAAGATATTTATTAAGATATTAAATATTTATTGAATTATTAATACGTGTCAACATTTCATTTAAATTTGTTAAAGCATTTTTATACTTGTTAAATTTACTACAGAATCTTTTGATAATTTGTGGAGACCATTTTTTTTAAACCAGAGATTTTTTATTTTGGTGATTTTATTTATTGTTACAATTATTAGAAAAAAATAATTTTAAAAAGTTATTTTAAGGAATAGTTAAAAATTTATTTAAAAGGTTTCTAAATTATTAAAATTATTTGTTAAACATTTAATTTATGTAATTTTTAAAATATTTTATTAGTATAACTAAAGATAATTTCATAATTCAAGCTTTTAACTCAATAAGGATATTTTTATTATCATAAAAAGAAATTTCTTAATTTTAATTCGTTATAAACAAGCTTAAAGTGATTTTTTAACATATTTAATAATCAAAAATAATTCAAATTTTAACAAAGATATTTATTAAGGATATTAAATATTTATTGAATTATTAATACGTGTCAACATTTAATTTAAATTTGTTAAAGCATTTTTAAACTTGTTAAATTTATTACAGAATCTTTTGATAATTTGTAGAGATAATTTTTTTTAAACCAGAGATTTTTTAATTTTGGTGATTTGATTTATGGTTACAATTATTAGAAAAATATAGAAAAAAATAATTTAAAAAATTCATTTTAAGGAACAGTTAAAAATTTATATAAAAGCTCTCTAAATTATTAAAATTATTTGTTAAACATTTAATTTATGTAATTTTTAAAATATTTTTTTAGTATAACTAAAGATAATTTCATAATTCAAGCTTTTAACTCAATAAGGATATTTTTATTATCATAAAAAGAAATTTCTTAATTTTAATTCGTTATAAACAAGCTTAAAGTGATTTTTTAACATATTTAATATGCAAAAAACATTCAAATTTTAACAAAGATATTTATTAAGGATATTAAATATTTATTGAATAATTAATACGTGTCAACATTTAATTTAAATTTATTATTTAATTATATCTATTTTGATTCTGTAAAATAATTCAATTAAAATATTACAATAATTTCAAATAATTAAGCTAAAATTTCATAGCGTATATCTCAATAATGAGTAATCAATTTATCTATTTTTTGTAAAATAAAAAATTAATTTACTTGATTTCAAATTTCTTCTAATTAATATAAATTAGCATGCCTCTATTTTTTATCTATTAGAACGAATGGCTTTTTATTAAGATATATTCAAATTTTATTCACCCAATAGAATATTAAATTAAAAAATAATTAGTGCATTTACTCTACTTTTTACTATATAACAACATTCTCGATATATTTCATAATTTACTAAAAGTATTCATTTATTTTCTTGTATCTTTTATATTCCGTTTTTAAGCTTTGAAGGAATTGTTCTTTTAATATTTTTCCATTATCTCCATAAACTTACTTATTTTTTTAAATATATAAAATGAATAAGATATTTAACTTTCGATTAAACCAACTCCAATTAATATGTAGATTAATATTGTTTAAAATGATAAAAAAAATATTTTTAAATGAGTTTAAACCAAATATTAACTTCTGAAATAAACACTTTTTAAGAAGAATTAATAATTTTTTATATATTGTAGAATATCTTGAATTCACAAAAATAAAAGTCATAATTTTTCTTATTTTTCAAAAAATGAAATGCTTCTTGGTCAGAATATTTAATAATAAAATTTAAATTCAGTAACTCACAAATTTTACAACTTAAAATATATCCTACAATATAACTATCTAATTATTTTTATTTTATTTTATTTTTTACTATTTTATTTGAATGTACCGGATAGTTACATAATGTATTTATTATTATAAAAATTTAACCTACATATCTTAAATATTTTAAAAACATAAAAATTAAAACTAATTTATCAACGATCATTTACATTTGATGGTCATGAAGACTGACTTTGTATCTTACAGATTTTATTAATAAATTAAAGTTTAAAATTGATTCAATTAATTACACGTGTGTTTTATTTAATTAAAAAAGTGTTAAAAAACCCATGTATTTATTTTCACATTATTTATTAAGGCTTTATTTCGATTAGGGATTATTAAGAAATTAGATTGATCTATTGATTAAAAATTTCATTTAATGAGACTCAGCTATTAAAAGTAGACTTCCTTGCTTTCAAAAAAAGAAAAAAATACCCATTCTATAATAATCTTTTATTCTTAAAGTTTAATTATAATTATTTTATTTTAAAAGTAAATTTAAATAAATTGAAAATTATTTGATGCTAGTTAGGAATGAATAATTTAGATTTATAATATAATTTATTTACATTTTTATTTATTTGAATTCTTGTTTTCTAGAAAATTAGAACTACATAAATTGATTATAAATTGACATAGAATGTTACTCTTTATTTTTTCCAATTTTAATTTACATCATATCTAATCAAAATCATTATTAATTTTTTTTTTCTTATTCTATACATTTATGTGTACTTATTTATAAAATGTGGATTATAGTTATCATTTATAATAAAAGAAATAGGTAGACATAATTGTGGAAATCGAAGCAGATAACGCAATAAAAAAAATTTATTTAACTTACAAAGTAGTTTGCTTTTAAAATAGTTTTTCATAATAATTAATATTTAGTTAGAGCTCTCCTGTTATAAATTAATTTAAGATGAGTGGATTCTGCTTATTGTATCTTACAAGCAAAATTTTTAGTTTTTTTATACAATTACTGGTGCAGTAAGCACAAAAACTATTTTTTTTCTTCTTTTTCATTTTTTTATTGAAATAAAATAAATCTTCATTAATACTCACTCTCTTTTATTGGAATCTTAAAATAATTTCATAAAAGTTATTTATGAAAAATTACTTTAAATGACATAAATTAATGTTGCATATTCTATTAACTCAATTTTTGTTTAGGAAACATTTTTTTAATTTAATTATATATTCATACATTTTCTTAAAGTAAATATTTTATTTTAAATTTTCAATAATGCAAAAATAAACAAATAAATTTTTAGTAAATTAATAAAAAACTAAATAAATAAATAAATTAATAAATAAATAAATAAGTACTTATAGTTTCCAAGAAGTATTTACAATATATAATAAACAACAAATCATAAATTGAAAATAAAATATTTACTTAATTAAATACTTATATTAATCTCCTCTTACTTCTATGTGTAGACTTATTCTTTCAATATACTTTTTTAAAGTCTTTTTATTTTTATTTTTTGGAATTTAATTTAGTTTTCTGTTATTATTTTTATGATTATTTTGGGTGAATTCATCAGGTAACCATTATTTTACTTAATTAAATAGCTAAAAATCACAAGCATCTAAAGATCTTTCATCTTAAATCTGTTGAACAAGAGGTTTTAGGTAATTAATTATTAATATGATTCTTGTTATATATGCTACTTCCTTATTCTAACTCATCTACTTTTAAAATCAAAATGCTCATAAAATATATAGTTATCATCAATTTTTATTCAAATTGATTCCTTTTAGTAATAATTTTATGTTTTTCTCCTTGCACCACCTAAAATATATTCTAGTTTTTCATTCTCGTTTTATATAGGCTAAACTAAAAGTGATAATATATTTTTTAAATTAATATAGAATTGAAAGAGTAGTATCATAAAAAAATAAATTTAATTAAAGTAGTATTATTCAATATACAAAAATTTTTATTTTAAAATTGAATATATTTAATAACATAGAATTAAAAATATACATTATATATCATATTGTTTCAAATATTTATTAAATCACCTTTTTATTAAATTACCTTATAAATGTTTTCTGGTAGTGGCTTACAATACCAGACAGGTGACTCCATCCGAGGCCGAGTTTAAAATAATATTGCCATTTGAGGTATTTATTATTACATTTCAACTGTAATAAATTTTTAAAAATTTATCAGGTTAAATTTTTTCAAATTAATACAGACATTATTTATCTGCCTCTACATAAATTAAAGATTTAGATGATATTCATTATTAAATTGATTATTTGGCTTTTTATTAATTTAGTACTTTTAACTTTGAATTTTTATAAATAAAATAGAATAAAGGAATAAAAACAATAATTTAAAATCAAATTAGCATACATACATACATACATACATACATACATACATACATACATACATACATACATAAAACAATTAATTAAATATATAGGCTAACAATCTGAATAGTTTATTTTTATTATATACTTTTTCTAAAATAGCTATTTTCTTTTCAAATAAGTAAAGAAGCAACTATTAAACCTGAAAAAACAATAACTGAAGATGATTATTTAATAGGTTTAGTAGAAATGCATGACTTTGAATCTGCAGCGGCATATTGATTTGCAGAATTAGCACCACTAACATTACATATTTATACAATTTGAGTCAGCCCAACCAGAATTTATAGTGCAACTTTTGTTGAATTTACACAAGCGTTTCCATAAGCATTTGAAAATTTGTTAGTAAAATTACATGAACCACAGAAGTAATCATTCAAACCACTTGCAAGCACAGAAGCAGCTAAGCAAGATTTAACATAACGATTTTAAGCATCAGCTTATGATGGAATGAATGCGAAATTAGTGAAACTACCACAGTTAGTACAAAAGCCAGAATTTTGACATGGGACAGACATTATTATCTTAAAGACTTATAGTGGATTAATAGGTTGATGAATCTGCTTTAGCATATAATAGTGTTGGAGTGGCAGTGCCTGTATTACAAATATTACAATATGGAAATGTCGAACCAGAGGTACTTGAGCTCTATCTAGCATGTAGTTGAACTTGCAACACAAGATGTATTATTAGAATTAGCATAAGTTCCTTTAGCACCACCACATTACATAATTTGCAAAAATTATCAACTAAATTACTAGCAGGAAAGATGCAGCTAAGCATGATATGATAATGCAATTATTTGTATCACCATTTGGTACAGACCATACAAAAGCTGGTGAAATTGTACAGCAGGTAGTACATGTACAAGATTTCTAACATAGAACAACTGCTCCTGGAATAGCCGGAGTAGTCTAACAACCATTTTTTGCACTATTAGCATAGATTTTAGAACTAACAGGACAAGATGAATATATAGTGTCATAAACATTGGTTAAGCTACCATCAATGTCATTGCATTCAGATATTTTTGATCTGCCATTTCCAGTTCCTGCAGTCCAAGTGCTACCACCAGATAAACCACATGAAGATTAATCATTAGTATTACACTAAACATCTGAACCTACAGCAGCAAATATGATTGTAACTGCGAGTGAAAGAGTAATTAATTATTTAATCATTTTCTTTTTAAGATTTAAGTTTTTAATGTTTTATTGTTTTCTTGTTAATTAATTATATTTATCTAACTTTTTCTTCAGTATTTAAAAAAAAATTCAAGTAAAATTTATCAAATAAAAGAATTGATTGAATTGGTTTACAATTAAATTAGTAGAAATTAAAAGCAATGGGTATCTATTAACTTGATTTTAATGTTTGTGTAATCCCTTTAAGAAAAATTAAAAATTTTTCAGATTAATAAATAAATAAATTAGTAAAAATTATTTCTCAGTTTAAGGGGCAAGATTCTAAAAAAGTTATATGAATGTCAAAAGTTAGTTGCTTCTTGAAATTTTAAATTCAAGTAAAATTATAAGGATAATAAGAGGACGATTAATTGGTATTTATTAGTTTTCTAAAAAAATTTTCAAATAAAAAAGTGTTTTTTTAAGATTAAAAATTTTTTTAATTCAAAAATGAATGAGACCTGATTTAAACTCACTGTCTACTTTATATATGAAATTTGGTTTTCTGTTCTTCGAGATTAGGCAAAAATTACAATATAATTTAGGATTTTTGTTTGATATTGGCAATTCAGTAGGTGAACCTTTTTGAGGGGTTATAGTATTATATAATTAATAATTAAGGTTTCTTTCAACATAACTTAATAATTCAAATTTATTTGTTTATTAAACCTTTTTAATAAGATTAAATGTAGAAAATATTGTTAAGTTAATCTCAACTTATCAAAGTATTATCAACTTTTAAACAAACACATGTTTTTTATTTCAATTTTTTAGAATAAATTTTACAAACTATAATAACTTAATATTAAATTTTTTTTGAAAAAAAATATAAAGTTTTGATTAATTTTGAAGTATTATATATTTATTATAATTCAATCTGAATCTATTTTAATATATTTATCAGATCATTTGATCTTAAATTAAGCTATATATTATTTTCCTGTTTCTAAATAAACTAAAGATTTTGATAATATTGATTATTAAACTTAGTATTTAGCTTTTTTTATTCATATATTACTTTTGGCTATAAACTTATATTAATATAATAGAATAAAGGTTTAAAAAGAATAACTTTTAAAATCAAATCAGCATACATACATAAAATAATTAAATATATAGGCCAACAATCTCAAAAGTCTATTTTCTTAATATAATTTTTCTAAAATAGCTATTTTCTTTTCAAATAAGTAAAGAAGCAACTATTAAACATGAAAAAACAATAACAGAAGATGAAGATGATGAACTAGGTTTAGTAGAAACGCATGATTTTGAATCTGCAGCAGCATATTGATTTGCAGAATTAGCACCACCAGCATTACATTTTTGACAATCTGAGTCAGTCCAAGCAGCACTTCTTGTGTTCTAGCATGTAGCTGTACTTGCAACACAAGATGTACCATAAGAATTAGCATAAGTTCCTGAAGCACCACCACATGATTTGCAAAAATTATCAATTAAATTGCTAGTTGGGAAAGGTGCAGCTAAACATGAGGTGATTATGCAATTAGTTGTATCACCGCTGGGTATAGACCATGCAAAAGCTGGTGAAATTGAACCACATGTAGTACAAGCACCAGATGCCTAACATGGAACAACTGCTCCTGGAGTAGCAACAGTAGTTTGACAACCATTTTTAGCACTATTAGCATAGTTTTTAGAATCAGTAACGCAAGATGTACATAGAGTGTCATAAACATTAGATAAGCTAGAACCAATGCTACCACAATCAGCGATTTTTGATTTGCCAGGATTAGTTCCTTGTGCCCAAGTGCTACCACCAGATGAACCACATGAAGTTTAATCATTAGTATTACACTAAACATCTGCACCTGGAGTAGCAGTAGCAAGTATGACTGTTACTGCGAGTGAAAGTATAATTAATTTTTTAATCATTTTCTTTTTTAAGAGTTAAGTTTTTAATGTTTTATAGTTTTCTAAATTAATTAATTATATTTATCTGATTTTTTCTACAGTATTTAAAAAAAATCAACTGAAATTTATGAAATAAAAGAATTGATTGAATTGGTTTACAATTAAACTAGCAGAAATTAAAAACACTAGGTATTTATTAACCTGATTTTCATATCTGTGTACCTTTAAGTAAAAGTTAAAATTTATCAGATCAAAAAATAAATAAGTTAATAAAAATTATTTCTTAGATTAAGGGGCGAGGCTCTAAAAAAGTTTTATGAAGTTCAAAAGTTTTTTAGTTGCTTTAGGTGGCACTTTGGAATTATAGAATGAGTTTTTATTTCATTTTGAACCCTGGCAATAATTTATTAAATCTGTCTATGGTTGAATAGATTAATTATAAACCTGAAATTAACCTCAATCTATTTTAAATTAAAAGCAATCGATAATTTTTTTTTGAAGACCTTTTTAACTCTTGTTCAAGGGCAAATGTAAAATAAATAAGGCATTTAGAACTGAAACATACTTCAATACAGATTTTTCAATTTTATTATAAAGTTATTATTAAATTTAAAATAGGTTAGAAAATGTTAAATTATAAACTTATAATCAAAAAATAAGCTAAACATAATTACTATATACACTATCATCTGTTTCTAAATCCAAATTATTCAACTTTAAAAATGGAAATACATATATTTAATTTACAAGTTTTTCGTAGAAGAAGTATGAAAGAGGGAAAGAATATGTATTTTTCTAATTTGTAGACTTTTAATCAATTTTTCCAAATTAAAAAATAGCTTACTTAAATTATAAAGATTATATTGCTTAGTATTAAATGTAAATGATTTGATTATTTTATTAAATTTAATTAAGAATTTATTGTCTTAAGCTTCTGATAAAATTTTCTTTGGATTATTTTTTTAAAAATTCAAAATATATTTTATAAGTAGGCTTATATTTTTTAGTAGAAAATATTTTATTGACTTATCCTAAAACAAACATAGATGAAATTTAATTCGCTAAATTAAAAATGAAAGAATTTTAAATATATTTAATTTATAAGCTTATTGTAGAAGAAGTATAAAAGAAGGAAAGAATATCTATTTTTCTAATTTGTAGACTATTAATCGATTTTTCTTTTTAATTAACCACCTTAAATTAAAAAATAGCTTACTTAGATTATAAAGGTTATATTTCTAAGTATTAAATGTGAATGATTTGATTATTTTATTAAATTTAATTAATTATTTATTGTATTTAGCTTCTAATAGAATTTTCTTTAAAACATTTTTTTTAAAATTCAAAATAGATTTTTTAAGTCGGATTATATTTATTTGAAGAAAATATTTTATTGAGTATACCAAAGCAAATATAGATGAAATTCAATTCATTAAGTTAAAAAATGAAATAATTCTACATATATTTATATTTGGAAAGTTTCTTAATTATTTTTTTTACTGTAATTTAGATAAAGAATCTTTATATTTTAAGTTGAGATTTAGTAAAACCTCTATTTTAATAATAATAACAAATAATGTTTAATATTATTTTTTAATTGTTAATTTGATTTACGCACTATTGATTTTTGTGCTTTATTTACACTTATCAATATCAACAGATTTAATAATTCAGGTATATAAAATAGGAAAAGATAGATCAGTATGAATTTAATTTATTTTAATATCAGATCTAATTAAAAATATCGAATAAATTAATTACTTAAATTCAAATCAATATATCTCTATTTATTTTTATATACTTTTTTCTTTATAAATTAAAATAAAATATAATTAACAAATATAGTTACATTGTGTTGATAAATAAGTAGATTAATTTAGATCTCTAAAGCTAATTATTACAAAATAAAATGATTTATTTGCTTAAAGTTTTAGAAACCTAAATGACTGATTGAAAAATATGTATCTAAAAATTAAATTAGTAAATTATATTTTTTAAGCATGAATTAAAGAAAAATAAATCAGAATTTAATATTAACATTAGGCATTTTAGTTACCTGAAATATGTTAATAACTATTCTTTTTTAACTTCATTCAAAATAAAAGTCATTTGTATTATCTTAACTCTTAATTTATGAAAAAATATATTAAATAAATTGTAAATGATATTTTATGAGTCTACTAAAAGCTTATATAATCAAGCTGATATTTTTTATTATTTTAAAATCTTTTTATATTTTAATTTGTAAAGAGAAAAGAGAGTTCATTATAAGTATTTTTATCAGATAGATAGATCAATTTGATAGATAACTTAACAATACAAATATTGTAAATTTTAGGATAAAAATACTATAAAAATCTTTTAATTGATGGTTCACAATAATAAAATTTGACTATGTTTTAGTTTTGTTACTTTAATATTTTTATTCTGATTTGATGACAAAAAATTTGGAGACTTACATTTTTCCTTTTATGGATCTCTACTTAAAAAATAAATTAATTAATAATTAGAAATTAAATAAAATGTATCTATCTACACTTTTTAAAAAAATTTCCATATATTACCCTTTTAATCTTATTTAATCTTGTTACTTTTTCAAAATTATAGCAATTTAAAAACATCACGTATCCATTAACTTTAAAAGTAAATAAAAAATATCTTTTTTTTTTTTTGTATTTATCAATCAAATTAAATTTTTTAATTCAAGGGCACAATTGAAGATTTTAAGATTTAAAAAAGGAGGGCAATTATATAAAAAATTAAATATATTTTAATAATTTAGTAATTTATTCAGGGTCAGAAAATAAAAATATTATGAACAACACTAAAATTTTTAATAGCCATAAATGAATGATGATTTTTATTCATTATTATAATTTAATAGAAAAAGAAACAAACTTTTTATATTAATTTAAAATTGTATGAATCTTATTTAAATAGATTGAAGTTTCATATGGTATGTAGGTTCCTAAATTGGTTTACATAAATTAATTATCGAATATCTAAAATAGAAAAAATTTCAACTTAATTTACTAATAATCCAGATTCAAAATTAACAAAATTTTAATTTTTTATTTACATCTCCATTATTATTATTTTAAAAATTTAGAATGTATGTTGAAAATAGGTACAAGTAAAATATTTTAAATTACAATCTTCAATCGAAGTTTATTCGAGTTTATGTTTTTAAATTGTGATTTTTACCTTTTAAATATTTTAATGTCACTTTTCTTAGTTTTGAAAGGATGACTAAAATTTTAGAATTGCTATTAAAGATTATTTTACGCTTAAAAGATATTTTGTATTTTTTATTTTGATTGCAATTTGATTAATTCTTAATTAAAAGATCTACAAATTACAGAACAATCTTAGATAAATTTTTCAATTCATTAAAAGTTATAACTATATAAGAATTAATTGAAAAACTTATAGAAAGAATTATATATTATTTTGATATAGACATCATAAAGATGATAAATAATTTTTTCTTTATAAAATAATATGGGATTTAATATGTGCTTGCTAATGCTAACTGTGTATACTCATTTTATTTTCAAAATAAATTCAAGATTTTAACAATAGATTTTATTTTCTTGTATGTCTATTCAATGACCTTACATAATATTTTCAAAAATACATTCATAAATTATTCTTTCACAAGGCCAAATATTTATTGTTGGTTTTTTAAATTTGTCTGTTTATATTGACTCATTTTTCACTCTTTATTATTTACTTGATAAAATGAAATACAACAGCATTTATCTTTCTTAAAGTTCATTAAAATTGTTACTTTTTACTAAAACAATACTAATTTGTTCATATTATTTTTGTTTTTTTCTTTATCTTCCTTTAAAAACATAAGAATATAGGATTAGGCATAATGCCAAATTGAAAGACTTTTGCAGGTTATTGATAGTGAATCCAATATATTAAATTAAAAAAGTTGATATTGTTATATTTTGTAAAAGTAAGATATTTTTCTAAATTAGAATTGAAATTTAGCATGGAAGATAATACCTTACTTTCTCATTTCTTAATCAAAACTATTAGGTCATTTTTAAAATAGAAAGAGACTAGTTTAAGGTTAAAAACCTTATTTAGTAATATAATATATTATAAATGAGTTATGAATATCCTTATTATATTTTAAAATTGTTTACAATTAAATAAGTGAAATAAGGCTGTTGCTTTTTTATGTAATTTACTAATAATTTTTTAATAAAATTTGTAGACTATTTATTTTGTTTTCTTTTTGAATTAATTAATAAAGATTTGAATACTAACTACAAGAAATGCGTCACTATCTCTACTTGCTTGAATTAAACTAATGATTATAATCGATAAATTTTAACTTATTAAGTTTTAATAATTGATGTTCTTTAATAAAAAATGAAAATTAATTAATATTTAATTATGTAAATTACGATCGATTAGAGTAAATTAGATGAAAAAAGTAATATATTTATCATGAATATAATATTTAGTATCATTCCTTATTGATAAATTAAAAAAAATTTTCTTTTTCATATAAAATCTTTCATTTTACTATTTTAGAATAGATTTTCTAGCAAATAAAATGTTTCAAATTTATTAGTAATAAAAAAAAATATAAATTTTAAATATGTGAAAACTATAGAAGTTTTTAAATGCTACTAAATTTACATTCTATTATATTATTTTACTCTTGATTTTAAAAAGTATAAAAACCAAAGTGTTTATTTAATATATTATCAGTGTTCATAATTAGTAACAAGCAGAACTATTTTTGACAACTATAAAACATTATTAATTGAATTTATAGACTATAGCTTTAATGAAATAATAGAGTTAAGTAAATAAACAAAATATTTTATAAGCTCAATCAATTTAATATTTCTTATTTAAATAAATAACATTTTAGTTATTTATGGTCAGTTATTTTTTTTTACATCACTTTCAAAGTTAAAAAATTTGTTTATTTTTCTTTGTATTTCCTATTTAATATCATTATTAATCATATTTTGTATTTTTGAATGGTTTTTATAGTAAAATTTTCTTAATCTAAATTAAAAGCACTACAAATTAGACATAATTTACTGCTCAAAGCTAAATAAATAAAATCTATAAATAAATTATTGATTCTATTATTTGACTAAATATTGATAAATATTTTTGTTTTTATCATATAAAATTAAAAATTATTTTCAAATTTTATATATTTTTATAAACATAAACAAATGGTATTTTAAATTTAAAAATTAAAATTTGATATCAATAGCTAAACTTAATTCATAAGTATTTATTATTTTTATTTAAAAAACATAAAATTTGTACTTTTTCATAGCTTAATGATATATACTTTAATATTTCATAATTATTAAATAATTTTTAACTTTTAATTAATCCGCTATTTAAATAAACGTTCATTTTTTTAGAATTTAAAAATTATAATATATAGATCGATAAATAAGTAAGTACAGTAAATAAAATAAATATCTTTATTAAATAGCTGTAAATATTTTCTAATTAAAAAAACTAAAGATAATTATTTATGGAATATTTTATCCTAAAACAGAAACATAAATTTTCATTTTTCTTTATAAAATTTTATGCTATTTGTTAGATTTTTTTAGTAAATTACTAAAAATAATTTAAGATTAGGCTAGTTTGTCTTTTTTAGTTGAATTTAAGATTTATAATAATAGAGTTTTTTTCAATAACTAATTCAGTATTTATTACTCTTTTTACTTAATTTAGTTTACTATTTTAAATTAATTAACCAAAAGATTTTTTAAAAATGCAATTAGAATCTATTTGAAAACAATTTAATCAATTAAAAAAACAATCAAAAAGCAATGAAACTAATTTTTGCATTTTAAGCTACATAATTCATTCAAACTTGTTATTAAATAGAAATTAAATTACTTAAAAATATTTTGTATTTACTCAATCAATAAATGAATTAATAAATAAATATATTAATACAAATAAGTATTAAAATCAATATAATTATTTTTAATAGTTTAAATATATTAAGAGAGTGGGTGTATGTAAATGTATTGAAATTATCATTTTTGTAGCTAGAAAGTAATAAATAAACACTGATATTTTTTAAAATTGCTTAGACCAGAAATTAAAAATGGATTTTTAATTTTAAATTGGTAAAAGGCCTGGAAAAAAGATTATTTTAGGAAAGATTTAAATGCATATGAATATAAATCTTTATAATAATAGAAGTTATTTTATTGAATATTTTCCTAAAGTAATCTTCTTAATTTTATCTATACTAATGAAATACAGAAAGCTTATTTCTCATTTTTATAATTTCATTTAATATTTTAGCTTTAATCTTCTTTAAAAGTAGATGTAAAATATTTAGATATATTTTAAAAAAGAGTAATTTTTTAAATTAAATTAAACTTATTCATAATCTTTATGAAACTAGTTTTATTGTTTGTAAGATAAGTAATTATTTATTCTCAAAAGTATAATTTTTTGTTTTAAAATTGAGTGATAGTTAATGTCAAAATAAATTATAGCCAAACACCTAATTAAAATCTAGTGGTTTGGGTATTAATGAGTTTAAAATTAAATAAAAATATATTTGAAGTTGTTAGTTCTAAGCCATTTTTATTTTAATTCAATTTTATTTAGGATAAATTTTGAAGCTATGAAACCAAAAATTTTGAAAATTTGAAAAAAAAAATGATTGAATAATATAGGGTATATAAAATTGAATTGAATTATTTTATTTGGTTTCTCATTTCTACCAAAAATACACTTTGAATGATTTTTCTAATTAATTAAACCAGAGACTAAAATTTATAAATTAACCTTCTACTATAAGTTTATCTTAAATAAACAAAAATTTTATGATATTTATTTATAAATTTATTATCAGCTATTTAACTTATTTATTTATTTATTTATTTTTGAATACTTTTAATTATAATCTTTAATAATAAATAGAGGAAAGGTTTATAAAGACTTATTTTTAAAATCAAATCAGCAAATATACATAAAATAATTAAATATATAAGTCAAAAATCTTAAAATTAATTTTTTTAATTATAGTTTTAATAAATAACTATTTTCTTTTCAAATAAGTAAGCAAGCTATTATTAAGCTTGAAAAAGCTAATATAATAGATGATGAGGGTAATGATGATGTTTATCCTGCTGATGACTAACTAGGTTTATTAGAGATGCATTATTTTTAATCTGCAGTAGCATATTGATTTGCAGAATTAGTGCCATTAGCATAGCATACTTTACAATCTGAGTCAGTCCAACCAGAATTTCTACTACAGGTTCCTGTTGAATTTACGCAATTGGTATTGTAAGCATTTGCAAATTTGTTGCTTTGATTGCAGGAACCACATAAATAATCATTCAAATTAGTTGTAGGCATTGTAGCAGCTAAGCAAGACTTAATATAGCAATTTTAGGTATCTGATCCTGATGGAAGGAAAGTAAAATTAGTGAAGCTGCCACAATTAGAACAAGATTTATTACTTTAGCATTACACATTAGTACCTTACACTACTGAGGTTTAACAGCTAGATTAATCTGCTTTTGCGTATATAAACGTTGAGTTGGAAGTATTTGCATTGCATGCATTACAATCTTAATCAGTCCAACCAGATTTTCTTAAACAAGATCCTGAGCTTGCAACACAAGATGAACCATCACTATTAGCATATAATAATGTTGGGGTGCTAGTGCTTACATGGCAAGCATTACAATCTGTATCATTCCAACCAGAGTGTCTTGAACAAGTACCTGAGCTTGCAACACATGATGAACCATCAGCATTAGTGTATAATAATGTTGGGGTGCTACTGCTTACATGGCAAGCATTACAATCTCCATCATTCCAACCAGAGTGCCTTGAGCAAGTACTTGAGCTTGCAACACAAGATTAACCATCAATATTAGCGTATAATAATGTTGGGGTGCTAGTGCTTACATGGCAAGCATTACAATCTGTATCATTCCAACCAGAGTGTCTTGAACAAGTACCTGAGCTTGCAACACAAGATGAACCATCAACATTAGTGTATAATAATTATGGGGTGCTACTACTTGTATGGCAAGCATTACAATCTGCATCATTCCAACCGGAGTGTCTTGAGCAATTTTGGACTGCAACACAAGAAGAACCATCAATATTAGCGTATAATAATGTTGGGGTGGCACTGCTTGCATGGCAAGCATTACAATCTCCATCATTCCAACCAGAGTGTCTTGAGCAATTCTGGACTGCAACACAAGAAGAACCATCAATATTAGCGTATAAAAATGTTGGGGTGGCACTGCCTGCATGGCAAGCATTACAATCTCCATCATTCCAACCAGAGTGTCTTGAGCAAGTACCTGAGCTTGCAACACATGATGAGCCATCACTATTAGCATGTATTAATGTTGGGGTGGCACTGCCTGCATGGCAAGCATTACAATCTCCATCATTCCAACCAGAGTGCCTTGAGCAAGTACTTGAGCTTGCAACACAAGATTAACCATCAATATTAGCATATAATAATGTTGGGGTGCTAGTGCTTACATGGCAAGCATTACAATCTGTATCATTCCAACCAGAGTGTCTTGAACAAGTACCTGAGCTTGCAACACATGATGAACCATCAGCATTAGTGTATAATAATGTTGGGGTGCTACTGCTTGCATGGCAAGCATTACAATCTCCATCATTCCAACCAGAGTGCCTTGAGCAAGTACTTGAGCTTGCAACACATGATGAGCCATCACTATTAGCATATAATAATGTTGGGGTGCTAGTGCTTACATGGCAAGCATTACAATCTGTATCATTCCAACCAGAGTGTCTTGAACAAGTACCTGAGCTTGCAACACATGATGAACCATCAGCATTAGTGTATAATAATGTTGGGGTGTTACTGCTTGCATGGCAAGCATTACAATCTGTATCATTCCAACCAGACTGTCTTGAGCAATTCTGGACTGCAACACAAGAAGAACCATCAATATTAGCGTATAATAATGTTGGGGTGGTACTGCCTGCATGGCAAGTATTACAATCTCCATCATTCCAACCAGAGATTTTTGAGCAAGTACTTGAGCTTGCAACACAAGATTAACCATCAATATTAGCATATAATAATGTTGGGGTGTTAGTGCTTACATGGCAAGCATTACAATCTGTATCATTCCAACCAGAGTGTCTTGAACAAGTACCTGAGCTTGCAACGCATGATGAACCATCAGCATTAGTGTATAATAATTATGGGGTGCTACTACTTGTATGGCAAGCATTACAATCTGCATCATTCCAACCAGAGTGTCTTGAGCAAGTACCTGAGCTTGCAACACATGATGAGCCATCACTATTAGCATGTATTAATGTTGGGGTGGCACTGCCTGCATGGCAAGTATTACAATCTCCATCATTCCAACTAGAGTGCCTTGAGCAAGTACCTGAGCTTGCAACACAAGATGAGCCATCACTATTAGCATATAATAATGTTGGGGTGCTAGTGCTTACATGGCAAGCATTACAATCTGTATCATTCCAACCAGAGTGTCTTGAACAAGTACCTGAGCTTGCAACACAAGATGAACCATCAACATTAGTGTATAATAATTATGGGGTGCTACTACTTGTATGGCAAGCATTACAATCTGCATCATTCCAACCGGAGTGTCTTGAGCAATTTTGGACTGCAACACAAGAAGAACCATCAATATTAGCGTATAATAATGTTGGGGTGGCACTGCTTGCATGGCAAGCATTACAATCTCCATCATTCCAACCAGAGTGCCTTGAGCAAGTACCTGAGCTTGCAACACAAGATGAGCCATCACTATTGGCATATAATAATGTTGGGGTGTTACTGCTTGCATGGCAAGCATTACAATCTCCATCATTCCAACCAGAGTGCCTTGAGCAAGTACTTGAGCTTGCAACACAAGATTAACCATCAATATTAGCGTATAATAATGTTGGGGTGCTAGTGCTTACATGGCAAGCATTACAATCTGTATCATTCCAACCAGACTGTCTTGAGCAATTCTGGACTGCAACACAAGAAGAACCATCAATATTAGCGTATAATAATGTTGGGGTGTTACTGCTTGCATGGCAAGCATTACAATCTGTATCATTCCAACCAGACTGTCTTGAGCAATTGTGGACTGCAACGCAAGAAGAACCATCAATATTAGCGTATAATAATGTTGGGGTGGCACTGCCTGCATGGCAAGCATTACAATCTGTATCATTCCAACCAGAGTGTCTTGAGCAATCCTGGACTGCAACACAAGAAGAACCATCACTATTAGCATATAATAATGTTGCGGTGCTAGTGCTTACATGACAAGCATTACAATCTGTATCATTCCAACCAGAGTGTCTTGAACAAGTACCTGAGCTTGCAACGCAAGATGAACTATCAACATTAGTGTATAATAATGTTGGGGTGCTACTGCTTGCATGGCAAGCATTACAATCTGTATCATTCCAACCAGACTGTCTTGAGCAATTCTGGACTGCAACACAAGAAGAACCATCAATATTAGCGTATAATAATGTTGGGGTGCTAGTGCTTATATGACAAGCATTACAATCTGTATCATTCCAACCAGAGTGCCTTGAGCAAGTACCTGAGCTTGCAACACAAGATGAGCCATCACTATTAGCATATAATAATGTTGGGGTACTAGTGCTTACATGGCAAGCATTACAATCTGTATCATTCCAACCAGAGTGTCTTGAACAAGTACCTGAGCTTGCAACACATGATGAACCATCAGCATTAGTGTATATTAATGTTGGGGTGTTACTGCTTGCATGGCAAGCATTACAATCTGTATCATTCCAACCAGACTGCCTTGAGCAATTCTGGACTGCAACACAAGAAGAACCATCAATATTAGCGTATAATAATGTTGGGGTGGCACTGCCTGCATGGCAAGCATTACAATCTCCATCATTCCAACCAGAGTGCCTTGAACAAGTACCTGAGCTTGTAACACAAGATTAGCCATCACTATTAGCATATAATAATGTTGGGGTACTAGTGCTTACATGGCAAGCATTACAATCTGTATCATTCCAACCAGAGTGTCTTGAACAAGTACCTGAGCTTGCAACACATGATGAACCATCAGCATTAGTGAATAATAATGTTGGGGTGCTACTGCTTGCATGGCAAGCATTACAATCTCCATCATTCCAACCTGAGATTTTTGAGCAAGTACTTGAGCTTGCTACACATGATGAGCCATCACTATTAGCATATAATAATGTTGGGGTGCTAGTGCTTATATGGCAAGCATTACAATCTGTATCATTCCAACCAGATTGTCTTGAGCAATTCTGGACTGCGACACATGATGAGCTATCACTATTAGCATATAATAATGTTGGGGTACTAGTGCTTACATGGCAAGCATTACAATCTGTATCATTCCAACCAGAGTGTCTTGAACAAGTACCTGAGCTTGCAACACAAGATGAACCATCAGCATTAGTGTATAATAATGTTGGGGTGTTACTGCTTGCATGGCAAGCATTACAATCTGTATCATTCCAACCAGACTGTCTTGAGCAATTCTGGACTGCAACACAAGAAGAACCATCAATATTAGCGTATAATAATGTTGGGGTGGTACTGCCTGCATGACAAGCATTACAATCTCCATCATTCCAACCAGAGATTTTTGAGCAAGTACTTGAGCTTGCAACACAAGATTAACCATCAATATTTGCATATAATAATGTTGGGGTGCTACTGCTTGCATGGCAAGCATTACAATCTGTATCATTCCAACCAGAGATTTTTGAGCAAGTACTTGAGCTTGCAACACATGATGAGCCATCACTATTAGCATATAATAATGTTGGGGTGCTAGTGCTTATATGGCAAGCATTACAATCTGTATCATTCCAACCAGATTGTCTTGAGCAATTCTGGACTGCAACACAAGATGAACCATCACTGTTAGCGTATAAGCTAGTTCCATTACTAGTACTACCAGTATTACATTTGTTACAGTCCCCATCATCCCAAGGGATACTTTTACTTCTAGAGATACAAGAGTTACTACTTAATATACAGGCGTTTTTATCTGTATTAGCAAATATATTAGTACCACCACATGATTAGCAAAAATTATCATTTAAATTCGAAGTTGGTAAAGGAGCAGCTAAGCATGATGCTATTTAGCAATTATTTAAATCACTAGAGGGTATAGACCATACAAAAGCTAGTGAAACTGTACCACAGCTATTACAATTATCATTTTATTAACATGGAACTTTTAATCCTACACTAGCAGCTGTACTTTGACAACCATTTTGTCCGCTATTAGCAAAGGGAGAAGAATCACAAGATAAGCAAAAAGTGTCATAAATATTTGTTAAACTATTGGCGGCACTACAATCAGAAATTTTTGATTTGCCAGATGAACCTGCAATCCAGCTACTACCACCAGCTGAACCACATAAAGTTTAATCAGAAGTATTACACTAAACCTCTAAACCTGGACTAGTTGTATCAGCGAATATGAATGTTACTGCAAGTGAAAGTGTAATTAATTTTTTAATCATTTTCTTTTTCTAGATTTAAGTATTTAATATCTTTATTGTTTTCTTAATTAATTAATTATATATATCTGACTTTTTTTGCAGTATTTAAAAAAATTAATATAAAGTAATTGATAACAATTAAATTAGTAGAAGTCAATTATACTAAATATTTATTAACCTGATTTTAAGATTAGTGTAATTCTTTAAAAATAATCAAAATAATAAATCATCAGATTATTAAATAAATTAGTAAAGATATATTTATAAATTATGGGGTGAGGCTCTAGTAAAGTTTTATCAAATAAATTCTTCAAAATTCGAGTTTTAATAGTTATTAATAAAAGATTTATAGATTTTCTTTATTTTTGAAAAGACAGGTAAGGAAAACTAAGTTTTTTGGATCAACAAATATTTAACGTATTATTAACATTTAAATTTATTTTTTAAATATAATTTATTTTATGGTTTATAAATACAAACCCAATTCATATAATATCTGAGTTAAAAATAAAATTTTTTAAAGATATTTTAAGCAATATTCATTCACAAATATTTTATTGAACATAGTTTTTTTAAATTTACTTAAACACAGTAAAAATTATTTTAAACAATTATTTTTTAAATTGAAAAAATTCTAAGATTTAAAAATAAAAATATTGATGATTATAATTTCTTTTAAAAATATTTCATAGATATAATAATACTTTTTGAAAAAATTCTTTGATTAAATTTGACAATTTTCTCCAAAATAGGTTTCAATTTTGAAAATTAATATAGTTAGATATTTGATTTAAAAGAAAATAAATACTTGATATGAATTTTAAATTAAGATTAGATTTAAATAAAATACACTCAGAAAAATAAAATAAAAACAAAGATCTGACGAATTGTAGTTAATTTATCAAAAATTATTAATTATGTTTTTTGTTAGAAATCCAAAACTTAAAAAAGATATTCAAATATATGGTTTTTGATTTTACTATCTTAATTACAATCAAACAAAGATTTAAAAATTATTTACTTACAATTTCTAAATATTCATTGTTTGCGAGATGTCATAATTCCTAGCAAGCATCAACATTGCTCTCTATTTACTTATGAAGAGTATTATTTTTTCATGCGTCTATTTTTTAAATTTACCTTATTTAAAAATATTTTTCATTTTTACCTTTTTCTTTCTTTCATATTAGTAGAAGCTATATTTGGACATTATATTTGATTTATTGTGCAACATTAAACTTTAAATTATATTTTATAGTTAATACTATAAAAATGCCATTTTAGAGTAGTATTCTTTATCTTAAAGCTTTTTAAATCTTTTTACCAAAAAAAGCCATATTCAGAAATAAATATTTTTTATTTTATTCCATTAAAAAGTCAAAATAGAGTGAATAATAATAAAATAATATTATTTTAAGATGTCAGATACATACTATGTACAATTATATATGATATTTATTTACAAGATTAAATGTATTTTTAAAATTATATTATTCCTTTGCAATTTTACAAAAATTAAATACAAAAAAAGTTATTAAATTGAATAAAAAAGCTATTCAAAAGTTCAAAATATTTAAGAGAGCTTTTTTTTAATAAAAAACTCAAAAAAAAAGAAAATAAATTTTAGAATTATGATAAATATTAAACTAAATAAACAAACAGCTTGGTATATAAAAAATGAGTGAATTAATAAATGATATCTTTTTGCTTATTTATATCATAATGTAAAAAAATATTTAAGTTAGCCTACAAGAATTATTAAATTTAAAAAGAGTCGATTTAGTGCTTATGTTCTTTGAAAACAGTAATTAGAACAGTCTTATGTCAAATTTTCTTCATATAATTATGTAGACTATTTGTTCAATTTCAATTTCAAATTAATAAAAAAGTTAGTAAGCAATTAATTAGAATTATATATACATTATCTTCTAAATAAAAAAGTAATTAAATTCATATATTTAAAAAATTTAGAATTAATTACTCCTCACTCTCTAATTTTTTTATCAGATAATAATTAAAAGATATTTTACACTAGCTATTAGAATTTATCAATACAATAAATAGAGTCATTTAGCTCACTAATATTATTTGTTTCATGTTTACAAACGAATTATTCATTAAGTTGAAGATAAAATATTTAAAATGATTATATACAGTATTAATTATAATTTTTGATAAATGAAAAAGGTACTTTTTAAAATATTAGATATGTATTATCAGTATTAAAAAAGTAAAACATTTAAAATTTTATTTATATTTTGATTAGGAAGTTTACAGTATATTATATTTAAAAATTAGAATAGAGAAAGTTGAAGGAATAATATCAAAAATCAATTTACAGTTTTTATTTAAATAAATTGTAGACTCCATATATTAAAATTTTTTTTGATTTCAGTTTGATTGGGTAAGAAAAAGATCCTAATATGAAATTCGACAATTTTTTTATAGATATTTAAGTATTTATTCTTAATAAATTAGGGTTAGAATGTAAGATTGGATTTTTAAAACTATTTAAGTATTTTCTATCTTCAATAAATTAAAGCTTATTTCAAAAGTGTAGCAACAATATTCATTCACAAATATTTTAATATCGTTTTTTTTAAATTTACTTAAACGCAGTAAAAATTATTTTAAACCTTTATTTTCTAAGATTTAAAAACTAAAATATTGATGATTATAATTTCTTTTAAAAATATTTCATAGATATATTCTTTTGGAAAAAACTCTTTGACTAAATTCTAATTTTCTTCAAAGCAGGTCACAACTGAAAATTAAAATAGTTAGATATTTGATTAAAAAAGCAAATAAACATTGGGTGGGTATATTAAACTGTGATTAGATTTAAATAAAAAACTCTCTGAAAAATATAATAAAAATAAGGCTCTGACCAATTATAGTTAATTTATCAAAAATTGTTTCTTATGTTTTTTGTTAGAAATCCAAAACTTAAAAAAGATATTCAATTATGTGGCTTTTTATTTACCTTCTTAATTACTATTCAAACAAAGATTTAAAAAAAGAATAACTTACAATTCTTAAATATTTATTGCTTGTGAGATGTCATAATTCCTAGCAAAGATCAACATACTCTTTCTTTTCTTATGAAGAATATTAATTGTTCATACATCTTCTATTTTCCTTTTTATGTTTTTCTTTCTTTCATATTAGTAGAAACTATTTTTGGACATTATATTGGATTTATCATGCAATATACTTAAATTATTTTTAGAGGTAATACTATAAAAATGCCATTTTAGTTGTAATACATATTCTTCATTCTAAAGCTTTAAAGCTGTTTTACCAAAAAAAAACCTTATTCAGTAATAAATAATTTTTATTTTATCCCATTAAAAAGTAAAAGTAGAGTTGATAATAATAAAAAAAGGCATATTAGTTTAGCTTGGCAAATACATACTATTTACAGTTATATATGATATTTATATACAAAATTAAAAGTAATTTTTTTAATTAGAGTAATCCTTTGCAATTTCAATTTTACGAATATTAAATACAAAAAAAAGCTAAAAAATTGAATTTATATAAGCAATTCAAAAATTTAAAATTTAAATACTGTAAGCTCTGATTAGTTCATCCAAATTATACTAACCCCCAAAATTAAGAAAAATGTTTAAATTTCGCAGATATTTTTATTTCTAAAAAACTTAACAATGGGATTCTGAGGAAAGAGAAACTCTATTAATATCAATAATATTCAATAATGTTAAAATATTTATTTCTATTTGATATAAAAATCTTTTCAATTATTCAACTCTTAATTTAAAAACGAAATATTTGAGAAGGCCATTTTTTAAAAAAATATAAATAATATTTATTACTAAAACTCAAAAATGAAAATAAATTTTAAGACTATGATAAATATTAAAACTAAATAAAGAGCTTTGGTAGATAAAATATGAATGAATGAATAAATAAATATTCTTTTTGCTTAGTTATATCATAGTTGTACTATGAAAACAAATATTTAAGTTAGCTTACAAATATAATAAAATTAGAAATTTAAAAAGAGTCAATTAATGTTTTTGTTTTCTTTGAAAACAGTAATTCGAACACTCAAATATCAAATTTTTTCATATAATTTGTAGACTATTTGTTCAATTGCAATTTCAAATTAATAAAAAAGTTAGTACTAAAACAATTAATTAGATTTATATCTAAATTATCTTCTAAACAAAAATAGTGGTGTATTTCTAATATTTTGAATTAATTACTCTTAACTTTTTAATTTTTTTCTCAAATAATAATTAAAAGATATTTTAAATTAGTCATTAGATTATATCAGTACAATAAAAAAATAGTGTCATTTAGCTCACTAATAAATTTGTTTCATATTTGTTTTTAAAAATAGAAGAAAAAAATGCTAATTACAAATGAATTATTCATTAAGTTGAAGATAAAATATATAAAATGAAAATAAATAGTATTACGCTTTCATTTTTAAAATGTAAAAGGAAATTTTAAAAATATTAGATATGTATTTATTTCTTTGAATTTTAGAAATATTCAAATATTTAAGCAAGTTAAGATTTTTTGCTTTTGTTTCATAAAAAATATGAAAATAACATTTTTAACCTTCCAATTTAATAAATTAAAACCAAATAACATTTTGAATTTGTTTTATTATAGATTTTACACTAATAAAATAAAGCTATTTCTTTTCTATTATTCTTTTTGATCTGAAGAAAAAAATTCAGAACTATCAATATAATTTTTTTTCTTCAGATAAATGAATAGCTTTAATACATCCATACAAATTAAAGGGCCAAACTGCTTGATTATAAAGAATATCTTTGCCTTTATTTGCTTCATACTTTAATCCAGATTTTAATTTAAAAATTTTGGAAACTTTGAAGTTTTTCCTTAGATTAGGTAGTTAAAAAATTAATCAGAAAAAGTTAGGTGTTTTTTAGTTTTAAAAAATCATACTATTTTATCAAGTGCTTAATTTTTCTATGTATCACACATTCTTACAATTAACAATTATTTTTTAAATATCTAAATCT